TATGCATTGCCTAAATCAACATGTCAAGGGACTGATCCAACCCCAACACAATCCATGCCTATCCAAACTAACGTCCGCCCACCTACACTATTGTATTTGGCATGGTTAGGGGATACCAATGAACTATCCAAGTTATGCCAATCAATTGTGATGACACATTCAATTTAAACACATACAAATAAATCAACAATTAAAGTTTAAAACCCAACAGAACCTGTCATGTTTTGTCCCAAACGATATATTCATACTTTTTATGCAAATTAAAACCAAAAATATAAGTACCAAAAACAAATCAGAATTGGATTACACATGGGTTTTCACGTCGGGTTAAACTTGAAAAAAAAAATTAGCTCATTATCGAGTTGAAAAATTCAACAATTTCCATATATTTAAGCATGGTAACAACAATTGTATGTAAGAACACAAAGCAAAAAACACTATTGAAAGATCAAAATAGATACCCAACAACCGCAATATTCAAAGTACTCTCAATAATAATATGTATATGCACTTCAAATCAATGAAAACGAAAATCAACCACAAAATTGAACCTGTTAAATCCCTTTGTTTGCTGTTATTTGTGGCTATAGAGAATTTCCTCAACAACTCTCTTGTTACTGGTGTGTAGAATCCCCTAAAACTCAGAAAAGCTTCTCTCGAATTATGCATGTGTTTGTGCGTGTGTGCCGCGATCCCAACACTATCATCCCTCAATCCCTCACGGCTTCTCTTTTCCTCCCTGTGTATGTGTCCCTCCTTCACGATGGCTGTATTGATGCCTCCCCTCATCATAGACTACAAAATATATGTACGTTAACATGGAGAAGATGCCCTACGGCCCACACCTTTTTCCTTTATTCATGTGGGCTTCATAAACCAAATCCATTCTTCTTTCATTTATATATTATTATTTTATGTTGGTAATTTTAGTGTCATCAATGATCGGGATTAATGTGAGACAAGTCGAAATTAGACTTAACTATAATTCGATTCCGGAGGTGCGGAATGCACTCTCGGATAAGTTAAGTTGATCTCGGGTACGCGGTGGTCCGGGGGCAGCGCCCCGGTGGAGTTCCAAAGGGCATCGCCCCTGACGGGGCAAAGCCCAAATAGTGTCGTCTGTTGGGAACAGACACGACTCCCGTCAAAATAACCAACTTAACCGCCAATGACTATATATAATATTCGATTCGATAATTTCAAGGTGACGATCTTTGTGCATATCGTTACTCTGTCAGATATTTGTCTCTTAAGGTACATAAACAAGCAAAGAAATTATGTGTGTGATCTTGGATTTTGCCTGAAATCCAAATAGTTGTTCTTGGACTATCTCAAATCTGATTTCATGGTACCCCAGGCTATAGGGTTGAATTACAGATTTTGAAAAGTGTTTTATACACGATCATTGAATTATCCAAGTATATTGATATTTTGTTTTCAAAATCTAACATTTTCTCACATATTTTATAAACATATAAATTATTTCTCATTTTTTTTCTCTTTCTATGCTTTGTCAAGTTGTACCTCATGTTGTACAACTTGTACTTGAAACCTTTTTCTAAAATTACTTGTTGTCCAGCACCACTATTTCTATTTCAACATCAGCTTCGGCCTAGATTCGCTCCAAATGTTCAAAAACTCAAAGATTCAAAGTTGTAGGTCCCTTTGTTAGATTTTCATATCATCTTGAATCACTTAAATCCGAGATCGGACGAGTGAGATTTACTCGAAGTACCACAGCCTCGTAAAACTGTCAAAAATCCTCCTTTTCTTCCTTTTTTGTTCCAAACTTTTCCGAACCTATCGGAATGCAAAAACACATCATTGTAGTTCAATTTTACCATTTTAACGCACTAATAAGGGATGACTGACGAGAAAATAAACTAGAATTAAACGACCAATCATTAACTACACATGAAATTATGGGAGTGAGCGGTTGAGGCTAGGGTAAGGCATGAAACAGAGGTGTCGCACAACCAAAATTGGTTTCAATGTACGTTGAACGATGGTTGAGGAAATTCATCTCTTTGGATGCATCATGGAGTAGTATAGGTAGTGTAACAGGGATTTATAAATGGTGTTCATAGACTTGGAGGAGGCCTATGATAGTGTACCACGAGACGTACGTAATGTGGAGTTTGGAGAAGAGGGGGTTCCTTGGAGGTATGTCACAGGCATTAAAGATAGATATGTGAGATCGATTACTTGTATTGGGACCTTGTGGTGATATCTAATATTTTGCAATGGAGATAGGTCTACACCAAATTAATTAAGATCGACACTATGCCCATTTCTATTTGATGTCTTTCTGTATGAGATTTTCCAAGTGATCCAAGAAAAGTGTATTGAGATGTAATTTGTGGATGACATTGTATTGGTAACAAAGTCTATGGTAGGTGAAAATAATCGAGCTAATGGTTTGGTTGGAGCAGTGTATTGGTGCATTGGAATCTTAAAACCTACATACTAGTCACTCTAAGATTGAATACTTATGTTGCAAATCCAAAAGGAAGAGTATCAACGAGGGTGTGGAAGTCAATTTTGGAGGGAAAATAATGTCCCAAAAGGATAGTTTCAAGTATTTACATGATTTAGAAGGGGGTGAGGTAAGGATGACATAACACATCGCATAAAAGCTGAGTGGCTAAAGTAGAGGGTTTCCATGGCAGTGTTGTATATATGACAAGAAGGTCTCACTAAAACTATAGAACAAAATTTACCAGGTAGACTTGCGGTCGAACCATGTTTGACAGTATACCAAACTAGGTCTACTGGGAGGTGTTGGCAGTTGCACATAACACAAATTAGTTTAGGGAGGGAAGATTGTTGTGGTTTGGTCATGTTCATAGAAGACAAATAGCGGTTTCAGTACACAGTGTAAAGGTCAAGGAAATGAGTTCGAGGGGTAAGAGGATGAGGACTTAGGATGAGCAGTGGAGGTTAAACATGAAGATTTTAGGCATTTCTGTGGACAAGAATGACATGACTTTATATAGGATTTCTTGCAAAGTTAGAGGAAGGGGGTAGGGTTAGTGAGCCACAAGTTAGGGGTTGTTCGGTTCATTTTCTGTTAAGACCTGTATGAATATAGTTGTTTGTATATTAACAGATAAGTTGTTGTTCAGTTGTTGTTCGGTTGTTGTGCTTAATAAATAGTTTGAATGTCAGAAATGATCATTTTACCCCAAATCTTTATTTTTATCTGAAATAAAAAAAATACAAACATCAAAGTGAAACCCTCCTCCCTCTTTTCTTTGTTCTTCTTAGCAGGAGGATGTTTCGCCTGAGCCTTAGGCGACCACTTCCCCTCCCTCTTGCTTTTTCATCACCACTTCCCCTCCCTTCTCTTCTTATTCGCCACTTCCCCCTCCCCCTCCCCCTCCGTCGCTACCTAACTCCACCTTCCCTCCTCCATCGGTGACGGTCTGAACAACATCTATAGGCACCACCGACCAGCTTCGAATCATCTTATATCTCCACAGGAAGGAACCTATAATGGTGGATATGGGAAGGAACCTCTGATGGTGGAGATGGAAAGGAACCTCTGATGGTGGAGATAGAAAGGAACCTCTGATGGAGTCTTCAACAGGTCTCCAACAGCCTGTGATGCGATGGTGGCAAGTCTTCAACAAATCTCCAATGTGAATCGAAGCGTGAAATGGAGTTTTTGTAAAATAGGGTTTTTTATTGCATTGGTAATTAAAAAAATAAAGGGGAAATTACATGGCTGAGCGTAAAGGAGTAATGGTTTTTAGCTGACCGATTAAGTCATCAGTTGAACGAATAAACCACAACCGAACAACTATTTATAGCTGAGCGAATAAGCCATATAGGTTATACAACCCATTAAGCCACAACCGAACAGACCCTTAGACCTCCAGATTCCCATGTTAGCTTAAAGGTTATTCAAACCTTGTTTATGTTTTCTGAAAACTTACTCACGCTTGTATGTTTTGTTTGTTGTTTGCCTATCTATTTGAATGTTGTTGCTTACTCCTAACACATTTTCATGTCTTACCTTCTTTCTTAGTAAGTTTTATCCTTTCTTTTCGCACACTTTACAAAAAAGGTTGTACTCTTTGAGCTAGAAATCAGCTTTGCTTACCCCCGAAGACCCACCTCCAAGGTGGAATATACTGTTTTATTTGGTTTTGTTTGGTTTGATTATATTCAATACAGCTTGTCTCACTATTCCATAAAATCAACAATAATGAAATTGTTGCTTTTCATCTCACTAAGTTACTTAAAAGTCCAAGCAAACACTGTTATCTTTTATTTTATTTAAAAATTAACCTAACTTGTATGATTTCCTTTTTAAGATACCTACCACCTGCACCATTGAATTTGGTCCAATAACGGATTGTTAAGTTTAGATGAATGACGGATGTTTTGCTCTAAGATGCTCTTCGTTCGATCCTTTTTGCTCAAGGCCCTATATACACCATCCATTTTTTGTTTGGTATCATATCCTAATGGAATCAAATACTTAAAACACAATAGTTTCGATTATTATAATCGAAACATCAATTGTTATTCGAACATGAATGCAGCAACCAGACTACATATATCATATATGGTCCCTAGAACACAATGTTCGATCCGCTGAAAAGACGACCTTCTCTTTCTCTTCTCATGATAATTTTACACCTCCCCTTTTCATCATATAATATTTAAATGTTTTTCTTTCCCCAGCAATTAAATGCCACTACTTTACACAAATATAATAATGATGGGACATATCCACCAAGGCTCTATAATTCACCTAATATTAGGACCTTAACAATTGTTAGATAATGTATGTAGACATCATTTGGTAGCTTATTCAACTTCAGGTACTGTTCAAAAAGCACCCAGATTAACTGAGGAAGCACTGTGTGTCAGCACTAACCTTTTAAGTGGGTTTTACTCCATTTGAATAATTATGTGCAGACTTTACTGGTAGCATCTAGTTTTTAAAACCTTATAAATTTCAGCACATCTTTGTTGTATAGATTGAAAGGAAAACAGCATAAATGTAGGTTGTGTCCTTTAGTATCTGTAGCATGTTCTTGGTTATTTTTGAGTCATTCGATCTGTATCTATATTCTCTTGGAAACTGCTTTGCTTTGATATGATTTAAGTCTCACACCTGGGTTTTCCCAAACACTTCAAAGAAACAAAAGCATGGCTGCGTCATTGCCAACTGCTGTTTCTGCTTCTGCTGCAAATGATCATGTCTTACCTGGTGAAGCACATGAGCATTTGCAGCTTAGTTCTGAGGACCGGCAACGGATCACTGAACGGACCAAATGGGTTCTTGATTCGCCTGACCCTCCTGGTTTTCGCCAAGAGTTTCTTGGTTCCTTCAGAAATACTGTTTTTTGTAGCAAAAACAAGAAACTCAGTTCGTCGCAACCTCCATTGGCATGTTTTGGGTCGTTTCTACGTTCTGTATTTCCGATACTGAACTGGGCTAGGGACTACAAGGCTTCCATGTTCAAGAATGACTTGCTTTCAGGGTTAACCCTTGCCAGCCTATGCATACCTCAGGTATACGTCTTAACCAAGACACAAACACTGAATATTTAGCACTCTTTTCTTTCTCTTCTTTTCACTGACCATTTGTGTTAAAGTTCTAAGTCGGGTAGACTTGAACTATTTTTCTCAATATATATTGGAATTTTCGTCCTCTAGATAGTAACATGGAGGTTTCATATATTCTGACATGGTATCAGATTCAAGGTCTATCATTTTTACTCGCCTAGTCCCCTCTCTCCTGTCACGCCCCCTCTCAACATGCATCCATCTAGCTCGTTGGGAGGAGCTTGTTAGAGTCTCAGATCGGCTAAACTTAAATTTGAATGATTTTATGCAGAGCATCGGGTATGCTGCTTTAGCGCAACTTAAACCTCAATATGGCCTATGTAAGTTTGGATAAATCCAATAATTTATTAAAGACTTAATTATGTTGTAATAAGAATTAATATAGCTCTTTCTTCTGACTAAACATGTTATAGTATTTAACTTCAGACACTAGCGTTGTACCTCCTTTGATATATTCAACTATGGGGACTTCACGTGAGTTAGCCATCGGTCCCGTAGCTGTGGTGTCACTGCTAATATCTGCCATGGTCTCGAAAGTGGTGAATCCTATAACTGATCCTGTATCCTACAATAAGCTTGTGTTCACTGTCACCTTCTTCACCGGCACATTCCAAGCTCTTTTTGGACTGTTCAGGTAAWGTTTTGTCTTATTCGCTCTATGGAACTCCAACACTCAGCTTTCAATGGAAATTAATGTTTTTTTTTTCTCTCATTTCTTTATCCTTTGTAATTGTTGATCATAGGCTGGGTTTTCTTGTGGATTTTCTTTCACAAGCAGCTATAGTAGGGTTCATGGCAGGTGCAGCCATTGTTATAGGTCTCCAACAGCTCAAAGGTTTGCTTGGCATCAGCCATTTTACCACGAAAACTGATGTTGTCTCTGTGTTGATTTCTGTTGCCAAATCACTCCACACTTCAGTAAGTTAATTTTCGCCTTTGGCTACAGAAATATATCCCTTTTTATTTCAAATTAATTTTTTCCTTCATCAAAAGTAAAATATTTACACTCCCCAGTCCCCACAAGCTATCCTTGTCAGGATGACACACATGGAGTTAATTTATGCTTTCCTTTTAATGATTATTTAATTTATTTTTATTCTAACTTTATTTTAGTTCACATATTCCCATAATGAAATATTCTTGACATTTTAACAGTGGTACCCTCAGAATTTTATCCTTGGATGGTCATTCCTCATCTTCATCTTAATCACGAGATTTATTGTAAGCAACAAATCTTAATCACGAGATTTATTGTTTTTGCTTGTTGGTGATTCTAACATGGTGAAAATTTCAGGGAAAAAGGAACAGAAAGTTATTCTGGTTACCTGCAATTGCTCCTCTAGTATCAGTTATTCTGTCCACCCTGATAGTATATCTAACAAGAGCAGATGAACATGGAATTAAAATAATCAAACACTTCAAAGGGGGATTGAATCCAAGTTCAGTTAACCAGTTGCAGTTCAATAGTCCACACCTCAGAGAAGCAGTCAAAATCGGGCTAGTTTGTGCCATCATCGCTCTAACGGTTCACCTTAGCTCAAAAATCCACACACTTTATTCCTAATCAATGATTATACCAAAAAAATAAGATCTGCATTCTGATTTTTGTACAGGAAGCTGTGGCAGTTGGCCGATCTTTTGCTACAATAAAAGGGTACAACATGGATGGAAATAAAGAAATGATAGCCATGGGTTTCATGAACATTGCTGGATCCATGTCTTCTTGCTATGTTGCAACAGGTAATTTGATTAGTTATTTTGACTGCTGGGATCCCAATCGGCCTGCATCAGCGGAAAATGGTAAATTGATTAAAAACTATATATACTTATTACACGAAGTTAAACTATATGCTCGGCCTAACTTGCGCAGGTTCATTTTCACGGACTGCTGTCAACTTTAGCGCTGGCTGTCAAACCGCTGTATCTAATATAGTCATGGCTATCACGGTGCTTATATCATTACAACTGTTAACAGGGCTATTATACTACACTCCGATTGCTATACTGGCCTCGATAATCTTATCTGCGCTCCCTGGATTGATCAACTATACTGAAGCTTACAATATTTGGAAAGTCGACAAATTAGACTTCTTGGCTTGCGCCGGAGCTTTCTTTGGTGTGTTGTTTGCTTCAGTAGAGATAGGTCTAATGGTTGCGGTAAGCTAGCATTCCTAACATATAAAAACTAAATTCTAACAAATGATGTGCAAATAAATTATTAAAGAGGGTGCTGGCCTTCTTATTAATTTGGTGACCTTCCATTTCTGAAAGAACATGAATACAGAAACATGTAGTTAATTGCTTCCATGATCATAAATGAAATGTTTTCTCACTGTGGGATCCATCAAATTGACTTGGGTCACAATCAACAGTTATGTTGCTTAATTGATGGCTTCTAATGAACCATCCATCCCATCCTTATGCTATATGGATAAGGCAGTACTGATCTTAAAATTAGAGTCCTTTTCCCATTGAAAAGCAACACTTTATTGTGACAAACTTTTATGAATGACTCTCAAGTTGACTTTTAGTAAATCTTTCTAAATTTAGCAAGTTGATTGAGAATTTCTTTCACTTCCATTATAGGTTGCTGTTTCCTTTGCTAAGATTATCCTTAATGCTCTACGACCGCGTGTTGAAGAACTAGGGAGGCTACCCGGAACAGATATCTTCTGTGAAGTGGATCAATATCCTGTGGCTCATGCAGTTCCAGGCATTCTAATAATCCGACTCAATTCTGGCTTGCTATGTTTTACAAATGCAAATCCCCTCAGAGATAGGTAAACAAGGATGTGCTATTTAATCAAGAAAAATGTTACATTATCTTTTCCTTTCTAAATTTAGTAATCTTGATTATTTTTTAAGGATATTGAATTGGGTGACCGAAGAGAACGGAAAAGAAGCTACAAAAAGTCCTATTAGTGGAATAATTCTCGACATGTCGAGTAAGTGAGCTTAATTCATACCATGTGATAAACTGTGTTTCTGGATTAATGGATCGAGTCTGTTTATGGACTAATATTTCTTCGATATTTTTAGGTGTGACAAACATTGATTATGCCGGAATTCTAGCACTGGAAGAAACTAACAAGAAGTTGCTTTCAGGAGGCATCAAAGTGAGATTCTAAGCACCTTCTTGAACAATACTTCTTATTCGATTTTAACATTAAAAGGATGTTACCCCCCTCTGAACGACGTACCCTTCTCACTATTATATATGAATGGGATGACAATATTTTTCCATTTGATTGCAGTTAGCTATTGCAAGCCCAAGATGGCAAGTGATTCACAAGCTAAAAGTAGCAAAGTTCGTAGATAAAGTTGGAAGAGACTGCATCTTCCTCACAGTTTGTGAAGCTGTGGATTCCTTTGTTGGTTCCAAGTTCACTGGTCCTGGCAATTGTTGATCATGGCCTGTACTCATGCTACTAWTGAACGAGGTTTGATACCTAAATCTTTTGGTTATAGAAGCCAAACTCATCTGATATGTAAGAAGGGACTTCAATCATGTATACTATGTTAGTTTCTGTTGACTGTTTGAGTGAATAATAAGAACACAACAATGGGTATCTTAGACCGCACAACTGTTCTTCTTGATCATGAACCAGCTGCATTGTATTTCCCCTTTCTGTGCAAAACCTAAATAAATAACAAAAAAAAAAAAACGCAATGCAAAAGCATTTTGGCAAACTGTGAACCTTTTTCCTTCAAAGTGCTACATTTAGTTATGATTTTTTTAACCGTGAGTATTCAGGACAGCTTACCAATGTTAAATAATCCCTCGTGCAACCACGTATGGTCTCGTAATTATTGGACAATACTGAAATATAAGATTAAAACCCGAGATTAATTTATAGGTAATTACTTGTACAAATTAAAACCCTCTCCAACAAATATGCGTGGACATTTTTCAGTAACGGTTGATAATTATTTCTACACATATAGAGTTTGTATTATTTGCATATACGTATAACGTTATTAAAAATAGACTATCAGGATCATAGGAAAAATCTATCGGTATTTTGTTTGTAATGTCTATTATTGATGGTTATCAAAAAACACAATTCATTGGAAAATGTTTGTTCGGACACGGTTTACTAGATGGCATTTAGAATTTAGAGACGACTTAATTACTCTGCTCGTGACATATCGGTAAACCATGCATGGTAATACTTTAAAAAATAAAATGTTGACCCGTGGAATATCGCCCATATACCGAAAGACTATTGACGGATACCGAGTCCACCAAATAATAAGTTTCAACTATTGGTCAATTACAATCAAGACTGTAATAGCGGTAAGTTGGATCAAATCCACAGGGACTTCATTTAACTTATTATTGCCAAAAAAAATCAAGTACACCGAACGAATAATTAAAAGTATATACGAAGAAAGATTTGGATTTGATTAACTAGACTAAACATGTAATTAAAAATTGACTTAAAATAATGAATTAAAATCCCAACATTAGTTCGCAACCCGATTAAGATGTTAGCACCTATCATTGATTCCTACAGCGTAAACATAAAAAACAAACCCAAATTGGTTATGGCCATTAACAAGCTATAACAACTTGTATTTTTCCTTAGATTCATACCTGTTAAAATAATCTCTCCAACCAGATCTTAATCACAAAAGGGAATTTGAATAAGCTCTCAGATTCCCATGTGTGAATGGTTTTATCGAACTAGAAAAACACCAACTCAAGCCATAAGATCAGCTTATTAGGGCTTTGATTGCAAGATTTAAAGAATCCAATCTGGAAACCTTATTGATACCAAATGAGTTCAACTGTTACTTTATCAAAGTTCTAAAATAAATACGTATCTATGTCCTTAAATCACAGTTTTTTATAAGAATTTTCAACTAAACTAATTGAATATTCAAATGTAACTGACATTGAAATTAGAAATCAAGCAAATAAACTTGTTTGAAACTGTTTAAAATGGAATCTCAAGGTAACAAACCATCTAAATCAAAGCAAACCAATGTTGGAATGAGAAAGTTAGCTCCTGACTAACCTAGGTTTACAACTACAAAAGGGGAAAAATTACAAATAGTGAAGTAGAATTGATGAAGAAAAATGCTCTCACTTGAACATTGCTTCTCCAATTTTGTTCCATCCGTTGAACCTCCTTTCGGTTGTAATTACCATTGACACTTTACACGAGCCTAAGGAAGAAACCTTCTCAAAATCAAAGAAACCGAACTTTGGTCCCTAAAACCCATTGCCGCCAAATTTAGCAGCGGGTTTAGTTGCGTGAGGAGCCATTCGTGTCTTTGGATTGTGTCGATCATAGTGTCTGAGGCGGAAAGGAGTGCGACCCTAGTCGCTTGAAGACATGAATCTGACCCAAAACTCTAAATGGACCAAATCGTGGGTTTTTTGCTTTTCTATAAATAAGGCTTTGGTGAATATATTTTAGCCACAACTTCAACGAAATATGAGGTTGATTGATTATAATTTTAGCCATAAAAATGCAGCTATCAAAATACCCCCCACTTAGAATTTTGACCATTCTTGAGCAAACACTAAGGTTTTAGCATGAAGTAAACCCACAAGTTGATTTTTAAAGAATCGATAAAAAGTACATAGCATTTTACGAATGAGCGACTTAACTGGCTTAACAATAATCAACACGAGACAAACTAAAGATGAATACATGCATGTTAATTCCATGAACACTTTACAAACATATATGGAATACACTCTAATCTTGCAGGTGTGGGTGTTTTCACTCAAAGCATCATTTCACATGAAAATTCACTACCATAAGCTTGCATCATCAAGTCTCAATTCTCCATAGCTAACGGTAAAGACTAAGTGTGAATCAAAAGGTCTTTAAGAAGGGTCGTAACTTGGCCTAGGGTCAAGGTTTGGAAAATTTGGTGAAGTGACTAAAACAAGACTTTGAAAAAGAAACCATTAATCAAAGTGTCTGCTCCCATACGTTGCACATCAAAGCGATCATAAAATTTCTCAATTTTCGAGCTCTTATTTTGCTAAGCACTTTATGGAGACAATTGTATTTTTCTCAAGATTGGTCTCCATTATTTTCATATATTTTTCTATTTTTTTTCTTTTCCTTTCTTTTTAACTTCAATTTCCATACTCTCTCGTTTTTATTTTCTAAAATTTTTTGAACCTCTATCGTTCATTATATAATATTTTGGATCATGTAGAGGGTCAATAATTCCTATGCCCAAGGATTCTAACTAAAAACATATAGTTTCATTTTCAAAGTCTGGTAAGTGAAGTGTTTGGCTAAGGGTCAAAGTGTGGTGTAATAACAATAAAATGGTAATTGGGCTGAAATGGTGATATACATGTATATAAGGGTTGGCTTTTAGGCTAAATGGTTAAAAATAACATCAAGAATCTCCTTTTTCATTTTCACGCTAGAATTACCTAACGCAATCTCAAAGAGTCAAAATGAAAGTTCTAGACATACACATTGAAGATGCAATGCACATAAAAAACGAAATAAGATTGAAAGCAACGTTCAACCATGGCTCAAAAGCTCACAAGTGCATTTTTGTCCATAAAATTAGCAAGACTCACGAAAGGTTATCTCAAATGTGCTAATCACGACTACACAAGCACACATAATCATTAATGCTATGGTTCTCATAGCATTGAAAGCAGAAAATTTGTCAACTCGTGCAATTTACTTAATAATTACACAAAAACAAGTAAAAAATTCGAAAAATCTAGCCTCTTTTAACATACAATATCCCCACGCTTAAATCATATATTATCCTCAATCTAAATCATGAAAAGCAAAGGGAACAAGAAAACTCCTTTGAAAGAGTAGAGTAATAGACTATCGCCCTATACATGATACAAACTTGTGGTGGGAGCCTCCTTGTACTGACCGGGGGGGGGGGGGGGTTAAATCCCACTTCAATGAAGGCTAAACTTGGAAACAAAACTCATCAACTCAAAAGACAACTAAAACAACATAAAACTAAACTAGAATGGAAATAAAGCAATAAAATTTTGGTACATAAGGATTGGGGGACACTGCAAAATGCTCAAAAATACACCACTGAGGTGTTCATTAGTAGAATATGCAGCAAACACGACCTCAAAATCATCATTTTGATAGAAATGGTATCTACATACATATCAATGATGGTTTTGGATGTTTTTCATAAATGTCGCCCTAAGATAATTGCATCATAAACAATAGAGTTACCCACTTTTGTGTCAATCATGTAAAAGTATGCAAGAAACTAACCCGTTTAGTTGGACAAAAACATCATCTACCATCCCCTTAGGGGAACTTCATTCTTATTTGCCAATTGGATGATTGATTTGGTCCCTTTCTAAAGGACCAACATTCAAAGAGTTATAAATTGACAAAGGCATGATATTTACAGTGGAATGGCTTTTGGTTTGCAGAATGTTTTTGGATAAAATGAAATCTTGTAAAAGAATTTGACTTTGAAGGAATGGAATGTTGTCAGGTTTAACCACATGTTTGGTTGGCAGACATTGGAATGGAATTTGTTAAGAAATTAGAATATGTCTGTTTGGTTCACAGAATTTAGCTTTGTAATTTGAAAGAAATATTGGTAAATGACCAAAATGCCCTTTTTTAAATTTAGTTTTTTTAAAACTAAAAATACTTTAATAAAATAATCATTTAATTATAAAACAATATAAAATATACAACCCAAATATAACCATAAGACAAATGACGTTACTAAATCAACGGTGGTCGGCGGTGGTTCAGATTGGTGGTGGTTCGCGATGGTTCAGATCGGTGGTGGTCGCAGGGGTTCAAATCGATGGTGGTACGCAGTGGTTCAATTGGAGGTGGTCAGTTGTGGTTCAGATGGACAGTGGTTCAGATCGATGGTGGCTCAGATCCGTGATTGTTCAAATCGTTGGTGGTCGATGGTGTCCGATGGTGATTCATATCGGTGGTAGTCGTCGGTGGTCTGCAGTGGTTCAAATCGGTGGTGGTCTGTGGTGCTTCTGATGGCGGTGGTTGGATGTGATTCAGATCTGTGGTGGTTCAGATCGAAGATGGATCAGATCGACACTTGTTCAGATCGATGATGGTCGGCAGTGGTTCAGAACGGCGGTAGCCAGCAATGGTTCAGATCGGCGGTGGTCGACAATGATTCAGATCGATGGTGGTCTGTGTTTGTTCAGATGGCTATGGTCGACAGTGGTTCATATTTATGGTGGTCCATGGTGGTGCATATGGCGGTGATCGACGGTGGTTCATATCAATGGTGGATCAAATTAATGGTGGTTCAGATCGTTGGTGCCCGACATTGGTTTAGATCGATAGTGGTCGGTGGTGGTTTAGATCAATGATCGTTTAGATCGATGGTGGTCGGTTGTGGTTTAGATCCATGGTAGTCGACGGTAGAGATGGCCAAATCGGCCCGGCCCGGCCCGGGACCGCCGGAGGACAAGGACCGGGACCGACAAAGGACCGGCCCAGGACCGGTTATAGGACCGAAAACCGGGACCGGTTGAGCTTTTTGGTAGTTTCTTGGGACCGGGACCGGGACCGGTTATGGGACCGACTATGGACCAGCCCGGCCCGAAAATTCAAATAATTTTATAAATAAATGTATTTTTAA